CCTAAACTCCGCTCTGTCCTGTGCCAATCGCACTGTCTCTGACACTCCCATCCCAATTATCCCAGTCACTGAATCAATCCACCTCATAGAGGGTGTATAAATTGTTGAGTATAGAATTCTGTATTACATTCTAAGGTTATTAAAAGGACTTTCTAAGAAATTACAGAATACTTTAATTTCAGAAAACCAATCTTCAGGACTAGCTCCGTTCTGAAGAAATTTAAATATTACAATTGTCAAGTTGATTCAATTCATGGTGAACCTACATATGTGAGAGCAGAAAGGCCTACACAGGGTTTTTAATAGCTGTTTTTTTGAAGTAGATTACCAGGCCTTTTTTTCCCCTGAGCACCCAAGGGCAGCCTAGATCCTCCAACTCTTTGGTTGGCAGCTGAGCACGTCAACTATTTCACTGAAATGTGCCCGTATCTAACTTGAGTTTTTGTTGTTATGTGCCATCGAGTCACCTGTGACTCATAGTGACCATGTGTACAACAGCCCTAAACCCTGCTCTATCCCGTGCCAATTTCATTCTCTGACACACCTATCGCCATTACCCCAGTAACTGAATCAATTCATCTCCTCTCCTGTGCTGTCCTTCTACCCTCCCAAGCATAACATCCCTCTCCAAGAACTGATCCCGCCTTGTAACATGTCCAAAGTATGTCAAACGAAGCTTCAGAATCCTTGCCTCCAAGGAGCAGCCTGGCTTCACCCTCTCTAGGATGAACTTGCTCGTTCTCCTAGCAGTCCATGGTATATTCTACACTCTTCTCCAGCACCACAGCTCAAAGGCATCAATTATCCTTCTATCACCCCTAGTCTTTGTCCAGCTTTCCAATAAGTAATTGCAAAGACCATGGCCTGTATAAGGCACACTTTAGTCAAGAGTATAATTTCAAAAAATAAGATCAGCAACATTTAATCTGCCTTCTGAAGCATATCTTGGTAACTGTAATTTAAGAATGTGTAATACTATCCCAAGATTTTGACCATAGATTCACTCAAGAGAAATTAGCTTGGCTTAGGCTATGTCTAAAGGCTTTTTTTTAACAACAACAAAAAAAACCACCAAAAAAACAAAACCTGAAATGCTACTGTTGCAGCTGTTTTACATCTTCATTTCAACTCTAAGGATTCTACACATATTTTTTAATGCAGCTTAAAGATGCTAAGGTAAGTTCAAAGAATGCCCTTCATTTAAAAAAAAACCTCAGAGAAATCTCACTATCCTCAAGAAACAAACAGCAAATAGCACAGTGGATTCTTTAGGGTCAGAGATTTCTGAACAGATAGACTGAGACTAACATGTACAGCAGCAGTTTTGGGGATTTTTAAAAGGAAATTTTATTTCATACTGGGTTACTTACAAAGTTCATATACATTGCTTTTCACACCGAATCTTTCCCATTTCCTTTACTCCTCACTTCCCTTCACCCATCAAGCAAGTACATCTGAGAAGACTCTCTTAAGAATTTATCCCATTTTCTATTAGAATTATAACCTGTGTTGCTGTTAGGTGTCATCAAGTTGAGTAATACTCAGACCCTTTGATCTCTGGTGGCCAAACCCAAAGGCATGTGCTTTGAATCCACCAGCTGGTCTGTGGGAGAAAGATGGGAAATATCTTCTCATACAATTTACAGTCTCTGAAAACCTATTAGAGGTTCAGCTACCAATCTTTTCTGACTCAAAAGCACATAACAACAATAATGTTTCTATTATATTCTTAAAAGTAATATATTCAAACTATAAAATTTGAACAAATTAATTACTTTGGCTGGAACAGTGGAAAGAGATCCTGACCAAAAATCATGAAATACAAATTTACCTTTAGAAGCCTTCAGTTTTCTTATCTGTAACACAGAACTAAACTAAGATATGCCAAAAGATCTGCTAGTTCTATATAAGCTCTTTCCTATCAGATTAAAATAATTCATTTTCTAGACATACTATTCACATTTTTGAGACATTTTTAAGGAATTAATATTTTAAAGCTAAACATGATAGACTGTATTACCTTAAGTTCAGCAACTTGAGATGAAATATGCCACATAAGGCTTTCACTTAGAAACTTCATTCCATATGGGCCAAGTAGTTCTGATAATGACCTCATTTCTGAAAGAAAATGTTAATGTTCTATTTTAGACAGTGAAAGTATTTGAAGAAAAAGGAACAAAAATAATATTTTATTATAGAAACTAAGTATTAACAATATTCTGAGAAAAATCTCTGGAGTAAAAATGGAACACAAAATGAAAAAGTAATTCCAAGATGTAATGCATACATTGGTATATTACTGAGTGAAAATAATCACTACATCTTAATATTGCTGTTTTTTTACGAAAAAGCAAAAAAGAATCATACTAACAAATGAATGAAGTCTTCCTCATTCTCTAAAATATGCCATAGTATTAGTTACCTGATATGTCAGAATATTCTTCTGCATTGAATGTTAACTCATTTTCTGTAGGTAAGTTCACAAATGCTTTCATTGCAGGGAAATAAGCTATATGGCCATTACTGACTTGTCTTAGCAAGGTTTCCAAATACCTAGAGAAAAAAGCAAATTTATAATAAGTAGAAAACACTTAATTCAGTATTTGTTATAGTATCTATCAAGGCATAACTCAACAATTAAAAAAGAATTTTCGTAAGCAGTTAATTACAGGAAATTTTCTCTAACTCCAATATTTTAAATGTCTTCTATAGAGCTTACCAATTTGTGTACAGACTTGTAATGGTTGGTTCTCCATGACTGTCTAAATGCTGTGTTTGTTGAAGAAGAACATTATTAAATACTCTTGTAATATCAATTTGCACATAGTTTTCTATCGATTGGAGTACGGTCATGTATGCTCTTACACTTGTTAAAAGTTCTGATGGTTTTGCAATTTCCTGTGTGGCTTGATTATACATAGTCATCCCAACAATTGACCTAGGGGAAGAAATTATTAAAAAAAGAGCTTTAGGTTTTCCATATAATTAAGATATTTATCCTATGGTATCTAATAGTAAATAATAAAATTAAAAATAACTTGTTACAAAGTCATGAAATTACTACTGTTATCAGCTTGTAAAGAAACAACTCCAAAAAAACAAAGACCACTTAAAAGGTACAAAAAGCAAGAACGTAAAATATAATAATACAATAATAATAATAATATAGTAAGTATACAAATGATGGACAAATCCTTAGAGACTATCAGAAACAAAAATTTCAAAACTTCCTTAACCAGGACAAGCTATTTTCAGCAAGGAACATAAAATATTTAGTCCATAGTTTGATTTCACTTGCTCTTAATGCAGTAATGTTATTCAAATTGCAGTTATTTCTGAAATAATTTTTAGACTAAATTCAGGAATCAGAACTAAGTTTTCTCTAGTTAAGTGATCTTTCCTTTTCCTTCTTCACTACCATGTAGGGAGCTCTGGTGCAACAGTAAGTAAGGAGCTGCACTACTAAACCAAAGGAAACACCTCTTTGGCAGATTAAACCCACCAGCAGCTCCACAGGAGAAAGACTGGCAATCTTCTTCCCTTGCCATTTATAGTCGCCAAAACCCCTCTGGATATCAGCTATATTTGGTCTTTACTTGATGGCAGTGAGTAAGCCTTTCTCCTTTGCTCCCTCTTCTCTCTGCTCTTTAGTTTTCTTCTTTTATCTTTTCATTCATATTATCAGTCAAAATAGATTATAGATGGTGGGTATCACAATCATGGTTCTAAACTTTAAGGAGTCCTGCTGACTAATGTGCAATGTACTGGGCTGTTAACTGAAGGGTTGGCAGTTCCAATCCATTAGACACTCTGTGGGAGAAAACGGACAGTCTCTATACATAAAGATTTACAGTTGAGGAAATTCAACAGTGAGAAATAATGGGTTGGTACCAACTCAATGATAGTGGGGATCTTTTAATTTTGTGTTCTAAATTTTAAATCTCGAATACTTAATTTTTTAAAACTTAAAAAACATTTTGTTTTTTTAATTGTCTGTCAGTTATTGGTGGATCAGTTACGATCAGAAAGGCAGCACTTTTGGGTTAGCAGTGCAGCTCCTAGAGACTATGTCACAAAAGCTGCTATTTTACAGAACAGTTATTTTAAATACCACCATGTTGGCAAGGATGTGGAGAAATTCTAGAACACATACCACTGCTAATTGAGGAGTTGTGCAGGTGTAGTCATATGGACATACACTGCTATCCTAAAGGTGGTGGTCTTAATTCATTAAAGGCTCTCTCCATAAAGACGGGAACTGTCCTTTCATGTGACTTATTACAGCCTCCCAAAAAAATCTCATGTGTCAGCTCTGACTTGGTTCCAACTCAATTCAATGGCAATGAGTGAAACTGTTGATAGGAATATAAATTATACAGGTGCTACAGAAAACAGTTTGGTGGTTCCTAAAAAACCTAAACATAGACTCACCTATGCAGTAATTTTACTTCTATGTATATTCCCAGAAAAACTGGAAACAAAGATTAAAATAGATCCTACTACACCTATGTTCATAGTAACATTATTCACTGTAGCCAAAGGGTGGAAACAACCAAATGTCCATCATCAACACATATAATTAATAAAATGTAGCATGTATGCATATACACATACATACATACATATACACACACAAAAATCTGGTGCATTATTTAGCAATAAAAAGAAATGTTTTTCTGGTACATGCTGCAACATGAATAGACCTTGAAAATACTATGTTAATGGAATAAGCCAGGTACTAAAGGAAAATGTTGTATGATTCCCTTATACAAAAGTAAACTTAAAAAATAAAAAATAATAATAAT